AATTAAATTACATTGAAAATTTTGTAAATTAAATGATTTCATTAACTATTATTGTTTGAAATTCTGTTGAATTTTTTTACGGATCATATTTCGACCGTTGAAAAAACTGTCATTGATATTGTAAAAAATTTATTAGAAGTTCCATTGAAAAACTAATTGCAATGGCGAATCCAAAATAATTTATATTGGGGCACTATATAGTTAATAGAAAAAGTATACCATCAAAATAACATAATGCCATTACAATTTATAAATTATACTTTACATAGTTTGTCATATTTCTCACTTGTAATACATTCTAACACATCTGTACAGTCACAATAAGTTAAAAAATATTTAATAAAAAAATGACGAAATTTCTCAATTCAACATTAAAAAATCATTGAAAATAATATTTTTTTAAAAAAATTATAAACAAAAAATCTATGTTGTAGTATAGCTGACTCGGCAATATAATTGATGAATTTATAAATTATGAATATATAACTAGAATTCCCCTTGCGTTAGTTAAAAAAGACATAAAAATATATTTTGAAGATATAGAAAAAATATGTTGCAAAAGAGAGATTTGAAACTATCATCGAGATTGAAAAAATATAATTAGAGCATAAAATTGTAAATTTGAGATTTATTATATTTTCTTTAGTTGTGATGCTGCGTTTATTTTATAACATTAGTAAAGTGATGAGTTGAATTAAATTATAATTGGTTGAGTTGTAAATTAATTCATTATGTATCTTTCTTTCTTTCAATTTTATTTTTAAAATAGGGGACATGACAAAAATTATAAAAAAATGTTCCCACAAATTTTTATTAGATCCTTTACGCTATATGCTTTGGGATGGAGGGTTGTTCCAGATCTGTAAAATAAACATAGATCTGTTCATGATTCCAATAAAATATTTTTGCTACAATTATATTGAAAAATTCAAACGGGAGTAATAACATTGAAATATTCGTTAGAATTTTCGAAGAATTCCGTTGTAATATATTGAAATTTTCGTTGAAATTTTTTCATTTTCTTGTAGTAAAGGTAGGCTCCAAATCAATATGCATTATATATAATATTTTGTGCAACTAATTATTATGAAAATTGTTGATAATGATAGAAAATATAACACATTCAATCTAATTATCATTTAATTTATGGTAATTAGTAAACTATTTAAAAAACAAACAAGATACATCTAGGTCAAAAAGTCCTTAATGTATTATAATAGCTAATCGAGGGGTAAGAATGATGAGAAAACTTATAGCTTGCATTAAATCTAAAAGTAAAAAAAAAAAGTGATAAAATTAATTAATGTTTTATATCAATTGGAGCTAGGTAATGAGAAATACCAAACATACTTAATATGCACATTTATTGTAACTTGAACTTTTAAGTTCATAAAAAATATTTTTTTTTTACATTAAAATTCACTATGTTAATTTTAAATTCTTTTAATTAAAAATTTAATTACTTTCTACCATTAATTTTTCAATTTTAAAATACTTATTATTTTTTCATTTGTTACACTTTTATATGTAATGTATCACATCATTTTATTCCAATGATGTATATCAATTATCAACACTAATTTAAAATAATAAATAGACCTAAAAGTATCTTATAAAATAAATTATACATCCATGTTTAATAAATATCATTAAGTATTAAATAACATAATATAAACTTGTGGCATATTTTTCTCACATAGATCCGAAAATTCATACTAAGAAAAAACAAAAAATAGATGTAAACATACAACTATCACCAATATTAACTATGTGAATTAAAAGGAGAAATAAACGAGTTGTATATTAAATTATTATTCAAGTAACATATAAATTTAATGAGTATGAAAATGAGTTAGTTGCTTAATCTTTTCTCAATATTGGGAAAAAATTCTAAACCTTTTAATCTAATAATCATTATAAAAGTACATTTTTTAACAAATGTATTATTATTATTATATATAAATAAATAAATAAATAAATAAGTAATATTAATTTTATTTTATCTTATGTGATTATATTAGTTGTTGCCTAATAAATAAGATATTTTGATAACAACGTCATTATATGAAACACGTACAAAAAATGATGCAATACATATAAATGTGCTATAATTCTTTTAATAAATAAAGTATTATTTATCAATAGAATAAAAAACTAATAAAATAATAGTAATGCAATTGAGAAAGGAAAACGTCTGAATTTTCTTAGACAAGTATGAACACCAATATTTAGAAACAAAAAGTCTTTTAAAAATAATACTTTTTTTATTGCTAGCGTTTAAATATATGGACTCTGTAAGAAATTGGATTTCATAAATAATGATCATATATTATCAATTTTTAATTTTGTATAATTAAAAATTTAAAACTTTATAATACATAATCTAGATTTTAATAATGATTTCGTAATAATAAAGTTGAAAGATGACTAAGAGTCATAAAATAAAATTCTAATTCTTCTCATATCAAATATTTTAATAAATAATATGCTTCTCAACGTTGTCTCATTGTTTTGTTTTGTTTGGCTTTGTCATTGGTGAAGAATCAAAAAGGGATCTTTATCTTGAGTTTTTTGAGCATTATGTATGATGCATAAAGTTGGACGATAAAAGCATTAAAAAAGTTATTGGACACATAAATATTACAAATCCAAACGAATGTGAAAGATATTAAAATAAATAATTCTAAAATCGTTGCAAGAACTAGGTGGTCAATGATTTGCAAACAATAGATTATATAGTTCGTCTATCTTCCAAATAAATGACATTGAAAATGAAACGTTGGAGCCCGATCAAAACATTTTTGAATGTTTGAATGAAGTTGACACTTCTTATAGAAATATTTATAATTTCATTGGTGTATTGTGCTTGAACATATGTGAAACTATTTTAGAGTATGTACTTTTAGGTAATGTGTGATGATTTCAAAAAATAACCTCGGGAAAAGTACATGTAATAGAGATTTTGAAAAGTTAACTTTCATTTAGAGATGAAATTCATTCCTCTCCGTAGCGCGATACATCCATCTATATATAGAGAGAGTAATATAGTAGTTTATACAATAAAAAATAATCGACAATTTTAATGACACGATTAGTTATTTTGCAGAGATATTCATGCATGGTTAGTAGAAATATAAAGATAATACTATGGTTGGCTTGAATATTTCTTAAGTGTTTGAATAAAGTAAATGTTTTGTCAAATGAATTAAGATGCATTTTGCAATACTATTGAATCACCAATGCTTCTTATGGGGACGTCAAAACCAAAATGAAAGAGATTGCTATTGAATCATCTAACATAAACAAATAAAAGAACTAATGCATTTATAATATATATTAGTCATTATTTAGTTATTTAATATTTTTGTTGGGGTTGTAATATGTAATTTAATTCTTTTTATATTAGGACATCGTTAAGTTATTTTGAAAAAACAATTTGTTCTACATTTCGTTTCATTAATTTGTTCTACGTTTTATTTTATTCTTGCAACGATATTTTTAATAAATTAATTAATTTATGTTACAAAACTTAATTGACAAAAAACATTCATCACCACGTGCACTTTACTAGTAAAATAAAAAACGCCACCCTTATTTCATGCTAAAACGGGTTGATCGGACCAAGAGTGGGACCCGATTCATATTTACGATATTAATTCAGCTTCAAAAGAATTACGGATGAAGCTAAGTGGAGCGGGCGGCTGTCTTCATCTTGAGAACTCTGTCTACCCTTTTTTTTTTTTTCCTTTGCTTTGTCTGCTTATGATTCATGCCCATAATTCATACTTAAGGTATACTGCAGTTGATGATTAAGACAGATCAATATATTAAATCCAGATGGCATCATTGTTATTATTTTTAACTTCTCTCTATTTTCATCCTCTTTTGGTTTTGAAAATTCATTCCCTCTTTTCTGGATTTCTCTGCAGATCGTCCCATGATTGTCCATCATTTTGATTCGTCTTCATATTCCCCACATTTTATTGTATAGGCTAAAAATGATGGCACTGGTCATGCTTCTAATTAAAGTTAGGCTTTTATGTGATCATAGTAAAATGACAAAAGAAAAATTACATTGCATTTGAATGATCCCCACGATATGAATACGTGACATTAATTTGCTGGGTTTTGATTCACGCCGATCGAGGCTAAGCCTAATGATCATGATCAAAGCTAGCTAATTAAATCCAGCTAACTAACATGCTCGAGTCTGATTGGAGGTTGGCTGAAACCTAGTATGCCTGAAATTGAGTAACATGATTACTTATCTCCATTAGTAATTAATGACTTATCTAAACTAGATATTAAGACATTGTTAAAGGCACGTCAATCGTGTTTATCCAAGAAAAGTGCTTTTCAGTATTGGCAAAAAAATTGAAAAGTGTCATCGTAGCTATAGAACTCATAAAATTTTATAGTATAAACATGTATTTTAATTATGAAAAATATAACGGATCGACCTGTCTAAAAGTTAGTTATTAGACTATACACTTGCGATTCGCTTAATTTCCTCCACATTCTAGCCACTAATTTTTCATTTGGAGATGTATAACATGGAGAAAGAAAATTATAAAATTTTGTCTCCAATAATAGTTAACGTCAACTCTAGTATAATTTGATACGTGTAAGACTATAATTAGTTGGATATGAAAGATATATTTATTAAATAATATAATATATTATAGATGATGTTTAGAAGTACTTTTATGTCTACAAAGACTTTTAGACATTCTCAATGCCACATAAAATTTATTAAATCATATGCCAATAAAAAAAAAATTCATAGACCATTGAAGATATTCTAATAATAAGAGAATTTTGCCTTTGGACATCTCTTTTCCTCGTGTCAAATCACTAGTGTAACCAAAGTCAACCACAAACTCTGGTCATTCCATTACACGTACTGGTTGAGTATATATACTCAGATTCAACATTTTATTTATGTCAACTTTACAAAAATCTACCACAGGAAAAAAAAAAAAAANTTTTTTCTAAAAGCAAAATAAATATTATAGAAGATTTTTTTTTTCTTTAAAAAAAAAAAACACAAAACACTTATAAAAAATCAGAAACAAATTTACTCTTAGTTTTTATCAGCCCAATGGCAGAGGATTTCCAGATGGGAAATGGCAACTGGTGGGAATCATCAAGAAACGATTTTCACGGCGAAATAACACCTGCAGCCTCCGATCAATCGTCCAATGGCCGTGCGTTAGCCAACCAAATGCTGGGCTTAGGCCTTTCTTCCGAAACCACCGATTGGAACCAAGCTTTACTGTAAGTTTTTTTTCTTACTGTAAGAATCAAAGAGAGCTGAAATGGGTTAATAATCTGTCACCTGTTTAAATTTTCTGTTTTTTACTGTCGAATAGGCCAGGTGAAAAAGCCACGAGCGATTTTCACCAGGATTTTTCGTTCGATCAATCCCATTTCATGAGTCGAGCGGGTCCCAACAACAACAGCACCATAACCGGCTCCCAGAATCTTTCGACGGGCTTCATGAGCTTGTTAATGTCCGAAAAATTTCAACAGCCGAACGAAAACCAGCCCATGTTGAATAACTATACCTATCCAATAACATCCACTACTACTGGCTATGGTGTGGCTGACAGCAGCCAATTGCAGTCCACCAACATCAACACACCTTTATGGAGTGGGCCCACGAACGAGCCGCCAGCTGTCAGGCCCGGTGGTCAGTCGTGTTTTTTTCCAACCGAACAGGTTTTGAGAGTACTACTTCCTTGCTCTTTTTGAACTACTTATTAGTTGTTTATCAATT